AGAGAGGTGATTTGGAAACTACTTTAGCACTGTGGAGTGAGGTACCCGAAATCTTTATCAACCTTATTCAACCACAGCTATATGATAGTGGCAGGTGTCAGGTGATCCACAACGGGAAACTCAGTGAGGCGTTTGAAGTGAATACAGGAATAAAACATGGTCTTTTCTTACAGAGACGACGTAAAGCTTGTGCGATATATTCCTACTATATCATGGAGTGACACACTTAGCTAAACGTCCAGTTCATTGCCACTGAAGTGTCTCTGCCAAAACCAGCGGGAAACTGACATTAATATATATTCATCCTCGCTGCCACATCGGAGGAATCCCTCAAAAATCTGGACGTCCATGTTAAAGCTGGATGAGTGCAATTCAAGCAACTATATGCCCAAGCAAACTAATCCTATGTCACACGGAGGGTCAGTCAGGGTGGAAAATACTGACACCACTGATGAGCCAGGAATTTCGTGGTTAACTCACATGTTAGCGTTTTTGCTTCATCGTATTTACCACCATCAGGACAGCAGAAGTCAAAAAGCTGCATATCTGAGCTATAAATAAAGCAATTACAGTATTCCAGCAACCACTGAGGAAATTTAAAGTGCGTGTGGCCTAAAATGCAATGGAACATGTTAAGAAATTATCCTAAAGTATGAATCCCAGGAACAGTAAGTCTCCTAAAGTCCCTGACCTGTTTGCTGACAGAGATATAGTCAAGGGAGACCAGGAGGAAGCAGAGACAAACACAGATCACTTCGCCAGTCTTCACCCTGGAACCACTATCATGCATAGAACCGGGTCAGGTCACACCACAAGGAAACAGCAATAGTATCCAAAACGTATTTCGATCCTCCATGTCACCCTCGAACTGACGACCCACTCGTCGCTTATTATTTGGATTTCACTCAAGGAATGGCCTGGAGCGCAACGTCATTTGACGGCCTCTTTGAAGTATGTCCGGTCCATTTCCATTTTCTTCTGCAAATTTGTTGAGCGATCGACTCTTGGTTGGTTTGTTTCAACAGTTTCTTGTTACTAATTCTTTCTGACTAGCCATTTGATCTTCACTATGGAGCCAGCGAAGTTGGTACCTGTTGATGAAAGTCTGCAACCTGTTGGAAATGATTTCGTGACACACTGGCTAAGTTTCTGACCCGTATAGAAGGACTGACCGACTTGACATTGGTGTTGAAAATCTGAATCTTGTTCTTTATGCTGAGGCGAAATGTAGAAGATTTCCAAACTGGTTTCAGGTCGATGAAGTCATACCTTGCCGTTCGGATTCTGACTTTGACAACTTCATCCGTTCTGCCTGTAGTTGAACAAATGCTTCCTTGCCTGATAAGTGAAGAAAGTAACCACTGTCAAATCCCTCCCATTGATGGTGATTGGTGCTGGTTGTTTTTGTTGCTGCTGGTGCTGGTGGTTGGCTGTCGTCCGTCTTCTCTGTGTTCACCTGCAGTCCTGTGTTCGCTGCCGGCTTTTTCAGTCAGTCTTTTGCCAGTTTTCGCTTGTAAGTCCTCGAGTTTGTGTGACATAAGACATTGTTCACGTCTTTCCTAACACAACTGCATTAGGGAGGCTCTCCCTCTTTCAAGGGTGGAAAGTTTAGCAGCTATGTCTCCACTACAGGAATGGCCAACTCTTTGTAATGCCTGACCTTCTTGCATGCATGTAGCGAAACTGTCAGCTCAAGAATTTATTTCAGCGGTGTATTCCTTATGTCGCTCTACTTGGGCTTCAGCAACAGCTACATCCTTTGCCGAATCATCCGCCGATATTAACGTCTTCAAGTCATTCATCCAGATGATCAAGTCTCTCCAGTCAGCCAAAAAGCGATGCATCTTGAATGACTCTTCCAGTTTACCTCTCCTATCTACAGCCTGACTTTTCAGCTTATCCAATGCAGTGATTAATTCGTGTTACTTGTCTCGTACAGTGTCTTGCAAATCAGGATGCTTCTGTGCAAGCGCCTTAGCATCATCTCCAAGTTGAACAATCTTTTTATCTGGGGCAGTCAAATCCCTTTCTAATGCTGCATGCTTCCTTTGTAAGGCTTGGACTGAGGCAAGATCACGACCACAGTCCTCAATGGATAAAGGAATGGACTTTTCATTCACCCACGACATAGCTCTCTCTATGTCTCTATAGAAGCGCTGTATCTCATAGGCTTCCAGGCGCTTTCCTTGTCGTTTTCTAGCCAAATCCTTCAGACGTTCTGGAGCTTCGCGGACCTTTCTGGACTTTTCTATGACTAGGGCATCCTCGGGAAATTCCTCTTTTAGAAGTTCATCTGCCTTCCGATAGATATCTTCGGAACGACTTTCTTGATACTCGAGATCCTTTATAAACTCATCAAACGTTTTTTGAAGTGTCTCAACATCTTCCAAGTCTTGACCTAAATCCTCTGATGTTACGTAAGTTTCTTTTTCACGTATCCAGAAAAGTATCTCGTCGACTTGGCGTAAAACTGGACAAATTTAAGCGTTAGATTAATAAGACGTGATTTTTCTCTGAAAATAGCCATAAGCCTTTCCCACAGGGCATGCAATTCATCAAGACGGTTTTTGATAATATCTGTTGCGTAGTGTCCCTGACCAATCATTTCTTCTCCCGCAGAATCCAGAGTTGACAGTGTTTCAGCATGAACTGTTACTTCGAACTCAAACTCTTGATGTTTCTGTTTTTTCAGCTGGAGATTACTGAGTTCTTAAAAATTCTCATTTGCATAGCTTTGCAGTTTTTCATTGATCCAACACTCAAGTTCATCGGCATCCATCTTAAAATACTGATATCTTTTAAGCATGTCCAGAAACTTAGATATGCCTCTGGCGAACTCATCGTTAAGAGATACAGAGACTTTATGAGAAGTAGAAGGTTTGTAAGGCGATTTATTGTGACAAGAACATTCGCGACTACCTTGTCGTAATCTTTCTAATTCCATTTCTTTCTCTTTTTGGACTATGAGCAATTTCGATAGCTCCAATTCTACCATATAGTGTGAATTATTCTCGTTGCTTCCAGGGAAATCAGCTTCATTACTCTTTTCTAACTGTGGAGTTAACGACGGCATAGTTTCATAACTTTCGTCTGCCATACTGTTCGAAACTTTGTAGGATTATTTTTGTCCTACAGATTTAGTCCTTCCTCAATACTGACGACACAGAGTCTTGGCTTTACTATAGTTAAAACAGAATGACTTGACTTAAACTTTATCTGTTTCTAAAACATAAAATAAATCATACAATTACACCAAGAAAATGTACAAATCCACTGTCATTCAAAAAAAGACAAAAACGTACCGAACAGTATTGAAGGTACGGACAAAATGAACAGTTAATTAATTACATGTACACACAAATTGAGTGACAGACAACAAACATCATTCAAGGTCACATCACGTGGTGAGAGTTACAATAAATTGACAAATAATCGCGACAAGAAGGTCACATCACATTGATTAGCTGTCTATCATATAGTCTATCTATCTGTCGCGATTAACACTCCCCGCGAACGATCACCACGTTGACTTCTCGTACCTGGAACCTTAAAGTCGTCTGCTTCTTCCAACAAACATAAGCTTCCCATATCTCGTTCAACTTCTTGAGTTGCAGTTTTCACCTGCACCGTCTAGACACAGCCATCTTGGTCATAGTACATCTGCTCAACTATAGTCTTTGGCCAGAGACCTCTCTGTGTGTCAGTACTGTTAACTAGGACGAGATCACCAGGTTGTATGTTACGCTTCATATCCAACCACTTAGATCTTGTTTGCAGCATCAGAAGATATCCACGTAGCCATCTATGCCAGAACAAATCAGTCAAATATTTCGAAGGTAGTTGACTATGGTGTGGGAAGAAAGCACATCCATCTATAGCATTCGCTTTACCTTTGTAATATTGTAATTTTCTTAAGAATTCACCAATTCCTGAACGAGCCGCAGTTAAAAGCCTTTTTGGAACGACTACTTTATGTGTACGTCCCATAAAATCGTCAGCTTCAATCAAAACTCGCAGAATCGCATAACAAGCACAGTAATGTGCTTGACACCATGATCCAATGTCATTAGCATTTTCTGTTGGAGAATAAAACTCCATGGAAGTTACAACTGAAGGAATCATTGACAACCAATTAATATAGACTACATCTGAGACATCGCCTTGAACACAGTCGGTAGTCAAACCGAACTGCTCCAGAACAAGAGGTAAATCAGATAAATTAATTCCAACACACTCAGCTCGACACTTATCTATTGCAGATGAGAGGTTTAAAAACTTGCTGTCATACGTTTCTCCTGGTTCACACCAACTTTTTACAGGACCTCCATTTATGACATATTCAGTAGTTTTCGTGTGGAAATTTCGTTTTCCATAGCAATCACGCCGAAACAGTTTACCTGAACCATATCCCATCAGTTCATGAAGTTCGACTTGTAATTCAAAGGAACTTTCAGCATGTTCCACGTACATTTGTTTGTCTTCATTACGTAGAAATTCTGGTTTAGGATCCTCGAGACGAACACTAAGTACATTATTCAAAGAAACATTTTTAAATCCATCAACTTGTCGTACATCATCATAGTTAGGAATATTAGTTCTAACAGGAATTCCAGCAGTTGCAAACGTCACTACATCCAAACTAGTAAAGTCTGGCTGTAAGAAATTAACCTTTTCAAATGTAGAAGGCCATGGTAAATTTGTTAACAACCTTTCAGCATTATTTACAAGTCGTTGGAATTTTTTAGACACTGATCTATTTACAACAGCGACAAAGGATTCAAACCTTGCACGAACACCAAAGGGATCACGGTATGACTCTATAAAACCAATGTAGTTTTCAACAACAGGGTTCTTATCTTTAACCCATAACCTGAAGGCATCCTTGTGAGTGGCTACTGAGCCAGTAGTGAAGCTTTCAGCATACTGATGATACATTTCTGATTCGATTTGGTTAAGCGAATGTGCTTTAAAATCTTTACAACAATCACCTATCTTGGGATATGTATAAGCCATCTTCTAGAACATTGACAAATTCAACTCCTGATCCTGAATCACCTGTAGACATGGTTTCTATTGATTCAAACTCAAAATATTATAATGCAGATATAAAGCAAAAATGTTTGAATCCTGATGGCAGTCTCTCTTGTTCTTCGTGTGATGCAAAAATGAATTCTTGGGAGCAAGTAGCCGCTCATATTCGTGGACGTAAACACCAAAGTAAATCAAATGTCAACACAATAGACAGCAAAAATTTGGAAACCACAAACACATTACTAGATGGCGGTGATTCAAAAAGTATTTTCTATCGATGTGAAAATTGTGAAGCGATAGTATTTAGTTCAGCGATGCAAGAACATTTAGAATCTGAAGAGCATAAATTGGAAACTGCCAAAATCCATCGAAGCTCAGTAATACCACATCCCTTAAGTAAAGATGGTTTCGATCATGTCCTACCACTACGGGAATATCGTCGATCCTGTCAAGAAGTTTTGCGTCCTGTATGGCCTTCAGTGAAATTTACTGATGCAGAGGCTAACCTTTTAATGGAAGCAGCGAAGAATGATGATGATTGTATTTTACTCTTGTCGTCATCTGATGGTCGATCACGTGTTGGTTTACATTTAGCCAATGCCCTGTTGATAGCTAATCGGAATTTCCCTCCGTCCAATATTTTTGGTAGTCCATTGAAACCAAGTACTAGTACTACTCCTACTGATATTACATGTGTGCTATGGATTGCATCCGAGAAACCAATGACTACAACTACAAAACGTTCTCATTCTACGTTTACATTTCAGCCGGGTGGTGAAAAAAGTCCATTGATTTTTGCATATCTACCGTTCGATCCGTCAGTCCTATCAGAAACTGATATCGTGAGAACAAATTCTGGTGGCTTTATAACACATTTAGCCTGGTTACTTATGCTGCAAACATGTTCATTCTTTCTCTCTTCAAGCATCTGTCTGTCGTATATCTTTACCTGCACTTGAAAAGAAGGTACCTAACCATAATAGCAACAGCTGGACCACTACTAATCTATTTGGTTTATGAGGTGTGATTTCCACATCAATTGGATATCTGGTGGCACAGCGGTATAATGCTCGCAAAACACGCCTCATGTGGTTCGGCGTTCAATCCCGGTCGACGCTCTCCTCCATCTTGCTAAGCTAGCAATAAGACTGGTAAAGAGGGATTATTTTCATTTTATTTAAACGCAGAAGAAAAACACTTGGTGCAATATGGCACCAAGAAAGATGCGCCACACAGTAATAAAACAGCATAGATTAAAAGTAAAAATATAATAAGTAGAAAACGGATAAAGAACTTCCTCTGGAAGGAAAACAGTCATATTTAACAAGTTCAAACAGTATTCGTCAACTATCATCGAGAAGGGAAGAAAGAAGGAAATTGCAACACGTTCGCCATTGATTACGACTCTTGGCCATATCCGATAACCTTTCGAGCCATCGATTCGAGCTATCTCGCGGACCCCAACCAGGGAGTCGTGACGCACTAACTGATGCTAATCTAGCACAAAGATTCTTCATCCCACGACGCCACATCATGGATTGACCACCCATCCACCTTTTCCATCCCGTCCTAGGGCTAGCAAACAGAGACCTGTACGGAAGCCTCTGGGATGACATTCGCAGCACATGTCCAAGCCACCGAAGCCGGTGTTTCCACATGACGACACTCAATGAATGGTGATCTCCACTGTGTTCAAACACACGCCGCCGAACCTCAGAATTACTCACGCAATGATGCCATCGAACGCAAGCAGACAGCGATGACCGAACACACAGAGTCGCCGCACATCCTCAGCTCAGAGAGACCAGGTTTTACAGGCGTAGAGCAAGACAGCCCACACCGAAGCATTGTATACCCGACCTTTGACAGCCAGGCTAACGTCGCGACAGCGCCAGAGGTGGCTCAAGTTGATGTATGCCACCCAAGCCTTCATTATACGGTTGGAAATCTCATCCGTCACCCCTCCGCCAGCACTCACACAACTACCCAGATACACAAACTTATCAACAACTTCAAGTGGTTCGCCGGCAAGAGTGAGTGCAGGTACAGGCTCCTGCCAATCTTGTAACAGTACTTTGCACTTAGATGGCGCAAAGCACATACCATACTTACAGACACTGATCGCCAACTGATTAAGTGCGATTTGGGCAGCCTGCATGCTATCGCACAGTAAGACGATATCGTCTGCATACTCGAGGTTGAAAAGTCTATCTCCAAGTAGCAGATCTACACCACCTTCACGCACATCCTTCAGAGCTGACTCCAGAATGTCATCGATGGCAAAGTTAAAGAGGGGAGGTCGGGAATGAGGCTAGCAACCCCATCCCGTAAAAAAATAAACACCACTGCTACCGAGACTTTAAACTTCTAGCTTGAAGCCCTATGTTCCAATGGGAACGTAAAGGGATTTTTTTTTAAAAACAACTCCCTAAATGTTGCTAACAATATCACACAAAAAAGGGTATGTAAGTAATAATTTTAACAGGAATCAAAAAAGAGACAAAACTACCCTTTAATATACACGCATTAAATCTGTTCAAAACATAATCCAAACTATAGCAAACATCAACTGGCCAATCATTGAATTTTAATTCGCTAGCAGACATCATTGAACTTTGATTCCATGGCATCAAATTAGGCCTATCACTATCTATGAATGATGAAGTTGTTTCCGTAGAATCTGATACAACATTTCGATATACCTCCTCATATAATGATAATGATGGCAAGCAGATCAGCCGGTCATATCGAAGTTTTAATTCAATATGGAATTCATTGAACATTGATTTGATGAGCAGAATGACTTCAGAGAGATCACAATTCTCATAGACAAAAAGATTGCCAATTATTACAGCTAGGCGATGAATTAAACAGCATGGATTCGCTAGACCAAAATGTGCAGCTAATTTTTGTACCTTAAAGGGAAGAAAAACAGATGTGAAACATTGAGAAAGTGAAAAAGTACACAAAGAGATTAACACTGTTTGTTTCTAAGCGTTATTTACAGGAGAACACATTTTAGCACCACTCTTTTGAAGGAATATTTACAGCAGACGAAACCATAATAAAAAAACACAAAACAAATCTGTCTATACCCTGAAGGAGAAAGAAAATGTGCACTAGTCTCTTTTGCGAAAAAATTAAGGTAACAAAAGTATCCTGGCTGAAAATGGAAAATGCATCAAAGTTACTCCCGGGATATTTGAAGCAATGTTTGGACAATGGTGGGTGGAATCATCACACTAACTAAGCTGACAATCACGGGGATATTATTAGACTAAAAACGTTCTGGAACATGCATATAACGCTTGACTCACAGCTGTTTGTCTATATATATATATATATATATATATATATATATATATATATGCTTGTTTGGTGTTGTAACGGCAAATAGGTGGAAGCTTTAATTTGGCTTGATCTAAAGTAATCCTGACAAACGAAGAAAAAGAAGTATACTTTCTCGTTTAGACTAGAAAGATAACAATAATCGACAACTGGAGGTACAGTGGAATATTCAGAACCAACTGGAATTAGAGTGGGAAACGTTCAGTTAATTCTTCACAACATGGTGTTAACCATGCATTCTTATCTTGATTATTTATACGAGGAGGGAATAAGTCTTTTTGACTGGAAAAGTTTAATACCAGAAGACCATTTCTTTGCATACAGAAGAAGTATATTCAACCTCTATGTTTACCTTGGCCTACAATAAAGCCAACAAATCCTCCATTAACACTACAAATTCCTTTCACAATTTTCTTTTCTTCTTCTTCTTCTATTCCTCTGTTTCATTGACAATCGTTCATTTTCGACTTTTATGATTTCATGACCTTTCTTATGATTTTATTACCTTAGGTTTAAGTAGTGCTTTTCTAACTTGCTATCGTATTTACAAAATCTTGTTCATTCCACTTCATTATATTCATTATTATTATTATTATTATTATTATTATTTGACAATCATTCACCAATAGTGCTTGTAATTTTACACCATCATATCATCGTTATTACTTTACAATCATTCTTACTGTCGTTATTTTCAACCTTGAACTTATATCTAGTCCGCCCCATTCGTTGGTTTATTTTCATATTGAGAAGAAGAAGAAGTTCAGCAAAGATGTACGATCTTTTCGGCGATTTCATTTTCAAAAGCTGTACAATCGCATTTAAATACATAATTTTACATGGAGACAATTCTTGTTTAATTCTACATAATTATGACGGCGAATTAAAGGTGATAACTATCTCCAACTAGATATGGTTTTACGGGAGGCTTAGAAACAAAATTACGCAGGATTAGAACGGATATCAAGTGTGTAAAAATGAGCGTGGAAATAAAATAATAATATCCAACTTGAGATGGGAATCAGGAGGTGCAAATATAGATTACAAGAGTCTTAGTAACAAAGTTACACGGGATTATAGCCAATTACAGGTGTGCAGAAAATGAGCATGGAAACAAAATTTTTTTAACTTAAAATGTTGTCATGTTGTTGTCATATTGTCTCACACACCCTGATTACACTCACTCTCGAAACCTGTATTTTTCTGTTGACTATATTTATATAGATGCACACATCATTAAATTAAATTACTTCATCTGATTTTGTCCCATGTTCTCATTGACCATGCATATTAAAAAATTATCTGACTATTGTTCCATCCCATCTAACACTTGTTCCACAATACACTTTCTGATATGATTCTAATTTGCCTTTACTGGCTGGCTATTGTATGCTTAAATTAATGGATTTATAATTGTAGAGCCTGAAGAAGAATTTATTGAAAACAATTGTTCGCTCTAAATATTTTGTTCTGGGAAAGTTTTGTAAAATTTTGACTAAAGAATATAGAATCCAATTCGAGAAGATTAAAAGTTGTTTCGAACCAGCAAGAATCATGAAAATCAAAATTTATGTACTGAGGGATTGTTGAAAAACAGTGATCAGCAAGCAGAGCTTGCGTATGACGCATTTTTAGTACACACATTCAACAGGACTTATAACTAGTGAAGAACAAAACTTTTGTACGATGAAACAATCCGGTGGAACTGTCTGTACAAATTTCTCTATTGTGATAGCGAGAATATTCGAGATATTCATAGATTAGAAGACAACTCTATTCAGGTAACGTTTAATGAATAAAGCTGAAATGAAAATCTGGTTGGTGGCAGGATTCGAACAGTAGATTTTCTCATTACTACCACATTATGATGATTACAGGGTGTCATCCTTAACCTGGGGTTAGCAATCCAAAGGCTTCCAGTTCGAATCCTGTCACGACACATTTTTATTTCACCTTGAATCACCGCTAATTATTTCCTCAAACGCAAACAAAATTGGCCTTATATACATACACACACTGAAACATTAATTCAGCAAAAGGAGACAAAGTTTCTAGTGAAGTCATTAATTTCACTGCAATCATGAAAAAAGTGATAACAATAAGACACAAAAGTAACTATCATGCAGAACGTGTGAATTCTGTGGTGTGAGTAAACAAAACGTTGGAGCATTACCAGAGTGTCTGTCATATGGTGTGTGTCTTTCTGTACCATTCTTTCAGGATTCTAGGCATTCATTCGTGTGTATTTTCATCTACAGTGATATTTTGGTTAACATTCAGACGAAAAATTGGATCAGTGGTCCAAAATGGTTGAATGTCGGGCTAAACTCGGTCCGGGTTCAATTCCTAACTGAGACAGTCTTCTTAACCTCAGCTAGTCAGTCAGTGGTAAGCCCAGAAAAGAGAGGAGGTTGAGGGGTACGGTAAGCAATTACCTCTGGTAATAAATTTTTTTTAATATCACCGCTACTGAAACACTTCTAAGCTTAAATCCTGAAGACCTACGCATCCAACACAAAGGAATGAAAACAAAACAAAAAAGATACACAACTTACATCTAAATATGATAATTGTTTACGATTCCAAACTAATAATTCATGTGAAGTAGGATTTGTAAAAGGAGATGTTAATTCACTACGAAGAACATTATTGCACAAACCTTCAGAATCAGCGTCTGGAAAAAGAAACTAAATAGTATTCGAAACTAAGATTAGGTGTATTGTCAAGGAACTTAGTTAGCATAGGAAAAAAACCAAAGCAATTATTAGAATGAAGTGATCTAATTCACTAACACGCGTACACTTTTAAACATGTAGGTGAGAAAGGTATTCGTGGTCAGGGATAAAAATACTGTGAATATTAATAATGATAATAATAACAGTAACAATAATAAGGGAAAATGAACATAAAAATATTCCCTTTAACCACAAAATTATAACAAAATCAAACGTTCATTCGGTTTTTTGTAGCTTTTGATTACGTCATGCATGACTATCCTCCATTCAAGAACAATACTCACTCAGCCGAAACATATCCTCAGTTGAATAAGAGGACACCATATGAAATTAATTCACATAGCTGCATTTCAAAAATCCTCTACAAGTTTATTCAGACAGTAGCAACTTGAACTAATGCACTTTTGTTAGGCCAGACTCAAAGAGGGGGCGAAATAAAAAGATATGAATATACCTAAAGAATTAGTTATTCGAAGATTCAAACTGCCTTAATATGTCCAAGAAAAACATCTTCGATACTAAATAAGTTTATTTGACGTGACACAGTATGGTACAACATTATTCATAATCACATCAATGTGATGACATGGTCATGTTGGAGGAAAAAATGGAGCTCGAAACGTCGTGCAGTTATTAACACTGAACCTCTGTGTGTTATACCAAATATAA